TTGGTCCCCTGCCAACAAAGTGAATCATTCCAGCTGTACAGTCACATCAGACCCCATCACACTCCAGACCTGCATCTAAATCAATCCACAATCAAAGCGCACAAGTTTAGACCAATTATTTCATGTATTAAAGGCTCACCCTAAAATAAGCATTTGCACATGAAAAGACCCTGTGACTCACGAGGGCTGTCTGCCTGTCCTCAGTCTGACACCGAGAGTGAGGAAAAACTGCCATTGGAACACTTCAGACAATTTGACAGACGGCTCGCTTTCACTTAGGAAAATACATGAGAGAGTCCCTTATATTATATGAGCGTGTTCCTGTGTTTTTCTGTGTGCACGTCTGGTATAATGCTCTTCTCCATCATTTCATCCATCATCATGATTTGATGAATTACTGCTGCCGTGATTGATAGAAAATGCACTGAAATGCCTCTATTAAATAGTATTCGGTTTACCGTCTGCTTTCTAAAGGCAGGAGCAGCTCACCTTTAATTACGGCAGGTACATGGAGATGACTTTTGTAAATAAGATGCTATAATGAGCCTAATTTACATAGAAAGCAGGTATGTTTGTGCAGAAAAAAAAATATGACAGTGGCTTAATTTCAAAACTGACAGTGCAGCACTATTTCAGCACATTTTGTGACTGGTTAAACTGTATGGGTGATAATTGAATAAGACGTGGGTTATTGTGCTGGAATATTGCATGCAAAAGTGGCACAACTGTTTAGTGAATTAGCTCTTAGAGTAAAAGTACTGTATGCATGACGCTTCGTTGGATTATGAGAACAGGAGCATCTCAATGTACTCAAAATGTTTGCATTTTGTTAGTTTAAGATGCATCTTACACAAATTCTACATACTTGTCATCATGTGTGTGGTATCCGTCATTACAGCGCCTGTCCAAAGCCTTTCCCTGTATTTTTGTCTTGGGGATCAGCAATGACAGCACTGGTTTATGGGTGTCAGAAGCCTTGGCTGTTGCCATGGCAATGCCACACTGCAATAGTGTGCGCAGGCAGACTGCGCTTGCTGCAGCGTCGACACAAGAACAGGAGCGAGAACGGTGAGTGTTGCAGAAGAAACCTGCTGAATGCTAATCAGCTCCTCCACAGTTTGTCCTTCATCAGACCAGAGAAACACTCAAGGATCTACATTACACACTCTCTCTCTCTGTAAAAACTGAACAAAATGTTCAGTTTTACAGATATTTTAATGTTTCATAGATCTATAGATTTTTTGAATGAAGTGCTCAAAAATTCAGTAAAAACGGCATTGTGACAATTTTAATTGTCATTTCAATTTGCATTGAATGTGATGGCAAAGCTGAAATGATTCCGGTCTTCACTCAAAAAAATATTTAGGCCTACATTTAAGATTTATGTATTAAATTGCATATAAAATTTCCATCAATTTGGATTAAATAGTTTTAACATATAGTAATAAACTTAATGTCTAGCAAGTTTATCATACACAAATGAAACAGGTAACGGTAACAGTAACAGTAGGCAACTAATAAACTGAATGTGTTTTAAATATACACAATAACAAGGTTTATTATATATTTATCATTAATAAATCCAATTTGTTTCAATGTCATGCATTTTAACCACTTGAATATTGCTTGGTCTAGAGCTAGCACCATTTTAACCATGATCATAATATTTTATTTTAACTGAATAATTTTAATGGTTTTCACAATGAACAGATTTATGCTGATCTTAAGCAATTTGAATAAATGCATAAAAAAAATGATTATTTAAATAAAATCAAATAGATGCAAATCTTACCCGTTTCATTTACGACTAGCACATATGCATCACATTAAGATTATTAGCGTGTTTATATATTAAACGTGTAATCCAAACAGATGGAAATTTGATATGAAATTCAAATGCGTTTTTTTTTTTTAGTGTTCAGTGAAAACAGTTTTGCTGCTAAATATGCTTGTGGAAACCGTGATTCTTTTTTTCCAGATTCTCTGAGGAATAGAGAGTGCAAAAGAACAGCATTTATTTGAAATAGAAATCTTATGTAGCATTATAAATGTTTGCTACTTTTGATCAATTTAATGCATCACTACAGAATAAAAGTTGTAATTTCACTTTAAACATTATTTTGCTGTTCACTCAAAAATAGTTCTGAGAGATGCATTGTGAGAAATACATTTTAAATATTGAAATATTACAATATAAGTTCAAATATTACATTGCATGTAGTCTTTCAGTTCATATAAGGTCATACAAATTGACAAATTGACATGAATTAGAAAAAGATTGCTTAAAATAGTTCTGGAAGAAGTAAAGCATGTCACACTGCAGGGCACATTTAGACATGTCATGGCATGTCATGTCAACCACCCTCATATATTTTAGTAAAGAACAGGTATAAAACTTTAAAAATCTTCTGCATGTTTTTCTTTGTCATAATGCAGCACATATGGCCCAGTTTTTTTTACTTTTTACAGATGTCTGCAAAGTTTGAGTACTAATCTGGATCAGAGGAAGCATACACTGAGATGGTTTTCAGCAGAGCAGTGAGTGAAGCTCTAAACACAGAAGTTTGCAGCTCACATCAATGCTGTCCGCTGCACTCGGATCTGTTTACATTCCTCCGTTTCATGTCCCTGACAGACTGTCCACTGTAATTGTCTCCAGCCTCACAGACATTCATTTTAAATAAACACACACTCAGTGTCCTACAGCAGTCAACAATAGCTTATTCCTGACCCAAACATGATGCAGCGATTCTTCAAAATAACATCAGCCCTAAAGTTCCATTCACACTGACAGAGATTCAACTTAGAGGTTGCTAAATTGCTGTACTGCTGGTTACTAATAGTCATGCCTAGTAAACTCAACAAATAATTCAAGCTTCACTGTCTGCTCAACTTTGTTGCATCCCCAGCGGTCACTATCGAACATTGGCATCAGATGGCCAACTTTCATGGAAAATTAATGACTTTTAAACTCTTTCTTTCTAAAATTGCAGTTGATGTGAACGCCTATGGAATGGCTTGCTTGAAGCCCAAAGACATTGTCCATTCCCGATTCTTTGACCTTTGAGAAACGCTTATGGCCTGAAATAACTACATATACAGTAGAGGACGGGGGAAAGGAGGAAGGAAAAGCTTGTCTAAACACCCTAGAGTGATGGGAAAGTTAATGGGCCTTTTCCTAGCACCAATCAATCTGCGCTAATCTCCCTGCCGAGAGTTCTCTAGGGAGACAGCGGCCATGATTCCATCGGTGTGACGGCAAAGTCCACTCAGCCACATCGCCCGTTAGTCACCAGGCCTTTTACTCTTTAACACACTAAGTACAGGGATCATGCACCACAGGAATTGACAGACAGATGGAAAGGAAAGCTGCACATCCTTAAAAACATACATTTAAAGGGATAGTTCACCCAAAAAATGTAATTCTGTCATTACTTACTCATCCTTATGTCATTCCAAACCCTTAAGACTTTGGTTAATCTTTGAAACACAATTTAAGATTTTTTTTTTTTTATGAAACCTGAGAGGTTTTTATCCCTCAAATGAAAGTCCAGGTAACCAAAAACTTAAAAGCAATGTAAAATGAATCCATATGAATCGAGTGGTTGAACCCAAGTCGATGTGATCTCTTTATATGATGAACAGATTTAATTTAGGCTTTTATTCACATATGAACACACATAGAGCGCATCACATATGGTAAACTAAACACGAAAGCTGATGTGAGCGCCACACGTTAGAACAAACCTCATTGGTTGTTGTACATCACATGCTTGAGCTTCTGTGTTTACCGTATGTAATAAGCTCTGTGTATGTGTGTCGATCATGGTTTAGATGTAAATAAAAGCCTAAATTAAATCTGTTAATCATATAAAGTGGCCGTATCACTTTAAAAGACTTAAACCGCTCAATTCATGTGGATTCATTTTACGATGCCTTTATGACCTTTTTGGACCTTCACAGTTTTGGTCACCTGGACTTTCAAAAGAGGGACAGAAAGTTTCTGTCACAAGATGAAGATGGAGGAAGACGAAGGTACACAGGATCCAATACGAAGTGATTTTAATAATACAATAAAAACAGGAACAGACAGAAGTTTTAACAGTGTGTGTGTGTGAAACAGGGGTAAACACACACAAAACGCAAACATAGACCGACAACTGAAACAGAGCAACTAAATTCACAGTGATGCTGAGATGATAACGAAAAGGTGTGATGATCTGATAAGTGTCCATGACAACTGATGACTGGGGGCAAACTAAGACAAAGAAACACATGTGACTGAAAATAACAAACCAAAAGTCTATGAAAACAAAAACTAAGAACAAACAAAACTTAATAAGTGTGACAGTTTCGTTCAAAATCTCTTCATTTGTGTTTCAAAGATTAAACAGAGTCATATGGGTTTGGAATGACATGAGTGTGAGTAAATTATGAGAGAAGTTTCATTTTTTGGTGAACTATCCCTTTAAGTAAAGAAAACAACCACACACAAATCAAGGTAACTTTAATAGCTTTCCACTACACAATCAGGTCTGACATTGTCTATTTTTGCTTTGCTTTCAGCTAAACACGTCCAATCATTTGCGACAGCGTCTGACTCAAGTCCATGAACGCACATGACTAAATGCACATGACTAAAGCAAGCAGACGTTTAAAATGTCCAGCCCATTTTGAAGCCCTGCTACATCACACACTTCCCCTTATGTGTCAGCATGGGACGGGCTCGTAAAAATGCCTTTTTTTCCAAGCAATTGTGCCAATGTCCCACATTCCAGCTGGCCTATGTCCCCAACCGCCGTGGATGGGGGGGCAGGCCGTCTCACTTCCTGAACCAAAAATAACGCAGATGGTAATAAAACCTTGGCCGCTACGTACTCCCCGGTGATCCCAGCTCCCTGTGACTATGATTTAGTTGGGATTGATTAACCATTACTACCCGGTCGAGGGATTCTGCTGAATCGTTACATACAACATTAATAATAACCAATTGGACTCGCCTCCAAGCTGTACTCTTCCACAGTTCTCTTCAGGGGATCCACGATCTGCCAGCATATGAGGATGCACAAATCAATCAGCAACATCCCACCCACGATGATAAAGAGCTTCTGGTCCTTGATAATCTGCAAGAGAAAAAAAAAGAAAAGCAATGGATGAGGTGATTAAGGGATGAGAAAGAGGCAGAGATGGGCAGGATCCATCAATGGGCTGTTCGCTCAATTCAAACGCATGATCTTCTCTCGCATTCTGAACCTTTGTGGATGAAAGCGCTGCTCCTGTCTGATCTTTTTATCTTTTCTTCTATTTAACAGTGGTTGACCTGAACAGAACCCAAATCAAAAGAAAGGTCATCGCGAGGAGGCCTGCGTGTCTTCAGACGGCGGGAACGAACAAATTCTTCCATGATTCAGAATAAAAATGCTAACTCGTTTTGATCTGATGTCTTTTGATGGCTTACCAATAGGCAGAACCTTGCGTCGTGGGAAACAAGGAGGTTGTGAGCAACTCTATGACCATTGAGCGCCATACTGAATTCTATCAGAATGGATGCTCTTTATCTTCAATCAAACAGAGGTTGATGGTTTCATTAAATGGCCAGACATGTGAAATAACACAGGATCATGATGCTTCAAGATGCATTAGCACAATCACTGAAAGCAATGCTTGGCCATATGACCATAGAACTTCACTTTATTGCACAAAATCTCCTTTTATCTCAGCAAACGGAAGGTGATGATGGATCAAATACGAATAGCAGTCCTAAATCCCCCGCCCCACATTTTTACGGCTACAAATAGCACCTGAACTTAAAAATTAAGTTTAAGTTGTTTGCACTAACTGTTTTCAAACAGGTTTCCCCAAAAACGACTTTTCACCCCCATCTGCCATTAGAAATTTGCTAAAGTATCCCTTTAAACAAACACTGACGCATATGGGCTAATTATAGACATCTGTGCACATTTAACAGGGAAGTAGTGCTTTAACATCGGAAGAAAGACACACTTCACCTTTAATGGCGCTAATCATGAGCTTGTAAACCAAAAACACTTGGTTTTAAGACCCAATAGTTTAAGCTTTTGTATTCACAGTTCAAATTGCTCACCGTTTGTACAAGATTATTGCTGCAGGTCTACAAGAGCATGTGGTGCATTAGTGTCAGATTGTGTTTGTGCTCAGTCTAAGTTATGCAGGCCATCATGTGCTTGTGTCTGATTGAATTTACAGATGCACACATCTCTGATGCCATCTATTTGTGACGCTGTATGTTCCATGATGCAGTCTGAATGATGCATTATGCAGTATGTGGATGTGTATGTAGGTTTATGCCATAAAATAATGAATATTTTAACTTGTTCTGCACCCCCAAAAATAATTCGAACTGTATATTCAGATAAAATAAACAAAAAACGAGGAAGAATCAGACTTATAGACCAAAGAAATTGAAGGCGTAAAGGGGTAGTTCACCTAAAAATGTAGGTGAACTCACCATCAAGTCTTTCATGCTTCATAAAATGATGTAAAAGCACCATAAATGTATCGTAAAGTGTTCCATATAACTCATGCGTTATATATCAAGTCTCCTGAAGCAGGGTTATTATCGTTAACTGAAACTAAACCAAAAACAATAAATAAAAAATGAATTAGTTGAAATAAATGTTAACTAAAATAAAATAAAATATTAAAAAAACGTATTTAATTTCAGCAAGTTGACAAACATTTCTCATTTCCATTTACTTTACTTTAACACACTTAAATAACTAAAACTAAATACACTAAAACTAATAAATAAAAATGCAGACTATATACTGTAGTCATATAAAAAACAAATAAAAATGACAAAACACAAAACAAAATTACTACAACTAACAAAAAAATATGTAAATAGAATATAATTCAAAATATGAACAAAAACTATAACAATATAGCAATGATACTAAGCTTTTTCCGTCCAAGCCTACCTTGAGAGAAGCAACAATGTCTGAATCATGAAAGAACAATTCTTTAGAACTGAATCTTTTCACTTAATAAATTGATCTGAATGATTCGTTCAGTTCATCTCACTGACTCAACAACAGCTCTCTGGATTTTTTAATAGTTTCATGATAAAGTTTTTGTTGTTGTTGTTTACAGTTCCAATATAATTGCATGAAAAATGAAACGAGGAAGGATTTCAGAACCATATTTGTCTATGTAATGGACGTCAGTGGGGTCCAAAACAAGACTGGATTCCTTTCAGTTTCACTGTATGGATATAAAAACACTGAGAATCTTTTTTTGTGTTGCACAGAATAAAAATCATCCAACTTTGGAATGACATGAGGGTGAGTAAATAATGACTTTAAAATTAGTTTGACTACATATTTTTAGTCTTAGAGAAGATAAATACACCTACAATCAACTAAAAACATGTATACAAAAAAAAAAAGAAACAACTAAAGCAAACATCACTGTGCGCTGTTAAAGCACGTTTGTGTGTGTATCTGCTTCATCTCCCTTTGTTTCTTCACGGTCCACAGAGGTGATTGACTTAACCCTCGCTGCACCCTGAGGGAGAGACTGTAATAGACCCCTCGGACCACCGGACCCGCATCGAACGGCGGCTGATTTGCGATGGGCTGTCCGCGGAGTCACATACTGTGAGACTGCTTCTCAGCTTGATAAAGAGATGGCACACCCACATGCACACTCACAAAACACAGTCCTGACAGCAGCCATCGCTTCAGAGTGCCGAAGCCCAGCAGTCCATCACTGTGTGGAGCGGGAGTCCGCTCACTGCCAGCTTCCTGCACACTGAAGTGCCAGAGGGAATTAAAGCCCTGAGCCTGGGCATTACCTGTCTCTGAAATTATTTATATGCAGTGGGTCTAGTTAAGAACTGCTAATTGAGTGTGAAAGTGCAACTGAAGAGAAGACACCAGGGGGAAAAAAACTGACATGCAATGTATCAAGCTGGAATTACATCACATACTCCTTCTAAACCTTTGATTGGAGGTCCGTTATCAGTTATCAGGGATAACAGGATTTTTGTTGTTCCTTAGTTAAAATAAAAATAAAAAATAAATAGAAATAGATTTTGACATACTGTATTGCACTGTGTTCGACTTCATGAAGCTAGAATAAAACGTTTTTTTTTTTTTTTTTTAAAGCAGAGGGTCTGTTCTTTTTGTGAAAATGATCAAAAACGTAATTGGTCGTAAACGGTCAACGTTTTTTAAATACTGGCGGGAAAAGAGTTAATAAACACTACAACAGTATTAGCCTGACAAGCCAGACCCACATCAAGATGTTGGTTCTGGGAACACACCATTGGCAGGGCTCAATTCGAGGGGCGGGATGAACGGTTGTCTTTCAAATTCCCTCTGCACGCAATAGGATATCGCTACAACCCACCAGAGCAACGAAGAAGGTGACGTAGTCAGAGCGACGGAAATGAGTCCATGGGGGAGTGTTCCGCTTATGGTGTTGCCGTTTTTGCGAAACGAACATGAGAATGTGCTTGTACATTCATCAAGCATCTTCGAAAAACAGAAAAAAACCCCAAAGTATTGCCGAGAGACTACTGCATGTTGGAGTGGCGGTAGTTAAAACACCAGCAAAGTCGAACAGAATTTGTCAGCGGTGTCTCAACCTTTTATCCAGACTTGAACGTGACTTTCCAGTGTACTGGAGATGGGTGGAGGATGAAAAGAACGAAGCCTCCGCAGTTAGGGTTTTCAAGTAGCAGGGAATTCACACGGAGCCGTCGCAACTCTGCCGTCATGTTAAGCCCACCCACCGACTCTATACACGATGCGATTGGCCTGACTAGAGTTTGGCTTTTCCTGCTCGCAAGCCAACGGGGAATTGCTAGACGGCCCTGGTTGCAAATTACATTTGCTGCCGCTAGGGTGCGTCTAGATTTCTAGGCTACAACAGTATATAAATAATTAGGAATGTTCCGATCAAGTTTTTTCTGTGCTTCCGATCTGATCAGTCACTGAATATTGAGTTTACTGAGTCTCAATCCGATACTTGTAAGTGTTCGGTGCAATTCGAGGACATTAAAGTTATTAAAATCAATCCAATGTATACAGGGATGTGCAGAGAGTTCCTCAAGGGCAGGAGCTCAAATGTAAAAAAGGGGCATCTATCTAAGGGCAGAGTAATTCCAATATAACAATTACTACAGAAATTATATTTATAGTAAAAATATGATATATTATTTAGTAATTATATTTTAATCTAATAATAAGATACCCTCTCTTTCATTTATATTAACCCTTTGATGCATACGATCACATCGGTGTGATTTGAACGTTCAGTGCATCATGTGATCAACTGATAAATTCAAATGTGCTTTCGTGTTTTAGCTGGAGCTGAGTCACAGACGGATGCTCTCAGCGCTTGTCATATGACAACTATTCCGGGTTTTCAACCACATATGGTTTATTTTAGGTTTCAGACATTTAAATACACATAAGTACTAGCAAACCAATACATTTGTAGTTTGTAAAGTACACACTGATGTCTATGGAAGCGGCAATAATAATCCTTTGTATTGTAACTTGACAAAGTGTTTTATTCATATCAGATACACATTGTATAGGTAACTATATAGTTTACTCTATTCTTCTCCCTGTTCACCGGTCACTTACTTTCGTGTATTTCGGGAGAAGTGGATGAATTTATTTGATCCGATTCTCTAAATTGCAGTGCAAACTAACATGGCGGCGCCCATCGCTTGTCATAGATCAACTAACATGATCATTATAAGAGGTTTTTAATCTTTTATATCAGAATATCAGATAGTTCATGATATAGTTAACAAGTTTGTGAATATTTTTAATAAAAAAGGAAAAACGAATTAAAAGCAATACATCTGTTGTGGCTGCGGTGTGTCACATGACAAGCATGACGCGTCTCCATGGAAATAATAAGGTGACACATTCTAAAATAACGATCGCCTTAAAAAACTCACGCTGATTTTTATTTAAGAATTTAAATAGAATTTTTTTAACTTACGAGCGAAAGGGTTAAATAAATAAATAAATGACTTTGTTACAAAAGTGTGGATCAAAGATGCTAAACACGGAAGCTCGAACGTACATGTGTGACGTGTGACATATGAACAGACCTCATTGGT